CCGTCCCGTAAACAGCGTGAAGAAGAAGCTTCTGGTCGCTCCCCCAATGGTAAAAACCTAACCAACAAACCACTGCTCCATAGCTCCGATTCTCTCTGGCGACGCTGCCTCCAGTTTTCCGACCACTATTCCTTCTGTCTCCGCCGCACGCTTCATTGTTATGACGGTTCTCAGGTCTCGTAAAGTTGTCCCTCCGCCGCCTAATCCCAAATCCCTAAAATCCCCTTCCAACACTCTCCACCAGCCCTCTACACCCTCTCAACATCACGAAATCCAACCCCCTCACTCTCCTTCACATCCTTCCCCTTTTTCATCTACCGGTTCTGTTATTGATTCCACTGCGTTGCCCTCCGATGGCGCCTCCGGTTCCGGAGTTTATCGTAGGCGGAGTTCCCGACTCGCTGGGAAAGGGCTTGACGCTGAGCATTCTGATGTTGACTGCGTTCGTGGTAACTCCCCCCGAACGGAGATGAAAGAGGAGACGATTGGTAATCGGGATTTGGGCCTGGCCTCGGATGGGAAGTTGGAGGTTCATTCAGTTCGTACTGAACTTGAGGGTTTGGAGGTTAATGAAGAGGCCGATGGCTTAAGTGAACTTAGGCGGAGTATTGATTTTGAACGTACAGGATCGAAGAGCGACGAGGTTAATGTAAATGGAAAGAGGAAATTGAACCCCACTATGGATTTGCCTGCTGGGGAATTGGTTGATGAAAATTCTGGGAGTAAAGAGTGTCTTAGTTTACGTTCGGGGAAGAGAGTTTTGAAGACGTTGAAACAAGCGATTGGTGTGGACATTACTACACCCCATAACGTTGATGGGTTAGTAGAAGAGAGGAGGGGTTTAAAGGATAGTGACAAAGATGGAATTGATCTGAATGGAATTAGAGGAATTGTGATGAAAGAGCTAAAGGAGGAGTGCATAAGAATTGATGAGAATGATTGTACCAAGAGTAGGAATAGATTCAGCCGAAGAGAAAAGGGCAAATGGATTGTCGATGGCCAAAGTTCAAATGGAAATCATACGGTTGTATTACATTTTGAGCCAAACGATGAGGTGTTAAGTGATAATCTAATTGATCATCAGGATTATGGGTTGGTTCATGAAAGACCGAAGGGAATAGTAATTGATGAAGGTACAACAAAGTTGACTGGTGCAAGTTGCAGTGATGGAGGGGATATGGATGCTAATGGCTATACTGCCAATGGAGGAGATGCTCTAGAACATAACGGTGTAGGGAAATTGATTGTAGAAGCTCTTTTGTCTCTATCCGAAAAATTTATAATCGATTCAGAATTGAGATATACGTACTGTTCCACAGAAGGTCAGGTTTCAGGCACTGCACATATGGCAGATGATGGCCCTCATAGCAATGAGAGTCAAGAGATGGAGTCTAGTTTGGAAGAGGAAGTTCGATATGATATTCCTGCTGCACATAGGGTATGGATGTCAGATGATTCGTTCATAAGAAGAACTGCTGCTGAGTTTGCTCGATGTAAAGAGGGCGGTGATAATTTGCAGAATGTTCAGGCTGAAGGTGAAGATGATATTAAAGATTGGCCTGGGCCCTTCTCTACTGCAATGAAGATTGCTAGTGACCGAGCTTCAGGTCGAAGAGTACGAGTTTCAAAATCTTTAGACAAGGAGAATGATCCTGCACCAGTTGAATGGACCCCTAGAAAGAATAAGTCTAGTAAACGCTCCCAGTCTTTACCTCCATCCTTGAGAGATTTGTGCTTACGGGTTCTTGCTGAAAATGCCGATGCAATTTCTTCACTGGAATTTGTCCCAGATGCTTTCAGACACCAGCTTAGTCGACTACTTTGTGATTCTCGAAAAATGAACAGTCATGTTCTGAATCTTCTTCTCTGTGGTTCCCCAACTGAAGTTTGTATAGGGGAGTGCTCTTGGCTGAGTGAAGAAGAGTTTGTGAAATCTTTTCAAGGGTGTGACACTAGCAAATTAATGGTACATATACTTTCCAGCATTAAGTTTATTGGTGACCCACCGTTAAAATTCTAATAAAGGGAATATGACATAGAAGATTAGATGTGGATACTGCTGCATTGGGCAATTTTTTCTTTTTAAAATCTTAAATCTTGGAAGAAAAATTCTCTCTTCAGCAATAGGTTTTTTAAAAAATAAACTCACATTTGATTCTTATGTATGGTGGTCTTCTTCCTGACAGTCCTTTTGACTTGGAAACTGTGTTATGAAGGATTGGAATATTGTTTTTTTCTTATTTTATCGTCTTTTTTGGCTGTATCATGCATGGATTTGACTGCATTTTATTGCATAATTCTTGTTCTAGCATTCTATTATATGTCAACAAGATTTTCTGTTTCTTTGAACCAGATACTCGAGCTTAACCAATGTGGACGTAGTATTTTAGATTTTGTCGTATTATCTACATTGGCTCGGTCATCAAATAGCTTACCTGCCCTGAAGTCATTGTCCCTAACTGGTGCATGTCGTCTTTCTGACATTGGTATCGCTGCACTTGTATGTTCTGCTCCTGTATTGCAATCCTTAAATCTGAGCCAGTGCTCCTTCCTCACCTTCTCAAGTATAGACTCTATTGCCAATTCTCTGGGATCAACTCTGAGGGAACTGTATCTGGATGATTGCCTAAAAATCAATCCAATGCTAATGATTTCTGCAATGAAGAAGCTTCAACATTTGGAAGTGCTCTCATTAGCTGGAATTGGAGATGTTTGTGACGAGTTCATCCAAGAATTCCTCCCAGCGGGGGGCCATAATCTGAAGGAACTCATTTTAACCAATTGTGTGTATGTTCCTTGGACATATCTCTATGGATTACTGTTATCAGTACCATTGTTGAACCGTGCTTTCATTCTTGGGTGCAGGAAATTGACCAATAAATCCATAAAAGCCATCTCGGAAACTTGCTCTTCTCTACGGACTATAGACCTTGTGAATCTGTCAAAGCTGACGGATTATGCTTTATGCTGTCTTGCAAGTGGTTGCAAGGCTCTTCAAAAGTTAAAGCTTTGCCGAAATCTATTCAGGTTCTAACCAGAGTTCTCTTAAGATATTTAGTTCTTCAATGCTTACTTTCATTTCTAACCTCCATATTTATATATATAATTTTGATGCTTCAATAATTTGTTAGACTGAATCAATCCTACCATTGTTGCCCTTCTAGCAATTTGTAATAGTTGTTGAACCATATTATCCTTTTGATCTGATACTTCTTATTTCTAATAAGACTCATTTAAAATTATAGCCCTGGAACTCAATAAAACCTTTAATATTCTTATGGTCCTTATTCTATAAGATAGCTATTGACGGGCTGTATGGTATATTTAAAAGGTTTTCTTCACTATCGCATTTTCTAAGCGTATAGAAAAGATTAGAAATAGTTTATTTATGCTTATTTACAAACAGTAAGTGATTATTTGCATAGAGATTAACTTTCTAATGTTTGTTTCAGTTTGAGTCTAATCAAGCCACGTATCGGAAAGCTAGCATTATCTGAATCAATTCAATTGAAAATAAAAATGAATGTGCATGAAGTGTTAGTACTTAACATCTGCATTATTTGGCTGATCGATTCAATATTGTTTGTTCTTGTAAGTGATGAAGCTGTTGCTGCATTTGTGGAGATATCAAGAGAGAATTTAAAAGAACTTTCACTGAACAATGTCAGGAGGGTACGTATTTACCTCCTTTTCCCTAATTCCCCTCCTTTTTCCATGAACGAACAGATATAGACTGTACTATTGTTGTCTAGAAAGCTTCTGGGATGGGACTTAGCTATATATTTTATGCCGTGTGCTTCATAAATGTATTTGCAAATGGCAAGTCCATAATTTTATCATGATTCCTCTTGCTTTGCGATCAATTAAGACTAGTTACTAATGATTTTGAGTCATGAAAGATGTTGGTTTGCCTTATTGATGGGATCAATTATGGGTTTGTGCAGGTTAGCCGCTGCACAGCAATTTCGCTCGCCTGTTTTTCTAGGAATTTGGTTATTCTCGACGTATCTTGGTGTCGAAAACTTACCAACGAAGCTCTAGGCTTGATTGTTGATAACTGCCCATCTCTAAGAGTGCTCAAACTCTTTGGATGTTCTCAGGTGTGTTTGTCAGTCTGAACCCTCCTCTTGTGCAAGGTTTTACAAAATTAAGAACAAAGGGCCTGGTTTTCTCCCAACTGTTTTCTAATGGGAACTTAACATTTTAGACATGACTTGGTGTAATAATAGGTAACAGACGTATTTCTGGACGGACACTCGAATCGAGAGGTAGAGATCATTGGACTGAAGCTGTCTCCAGTTTGGCAGCACGTCGAGCCTCACAAACGTTACCAAGGTTCAAGTTAATATTCATCTGTGCCATCCTCGTGTTAATTTCGATGAATCGGTTTTAGCTAGAATCATTTTGCTGCTCTCCATGCCAAAATCTGATAGTCATCATCTGCGTGAGCTTCTTTTTGTTCAAAACCTCAGTAGCTTCCTCCTAAATACTTGTGTAGGAACAGTAAATGCCAGAGGTGCATCTTTTTTCATTCTGTAGAAACTTTGTATATAGGTATTACACAAGAATGGTTGAACATTACTCCATACTTTTACTTTTACTTTTACACAGCAAATTTCATTGCACTCGATCAACATGAATGTGCATTGTTAGTTAAGGTTCAGTGTGTTAATACCATTGATAGTATATGTAAGTTCTTCCATCAACTGTGAGCTTGCTGTTTCGACCACCTGATTGCAACATACGTAGAGCCTTAAATCGAGAAGTAGACGTTACTTTCTTTTGGTAAAATGCTTGATGGGGGCATGTTGTTTCCATGTACTCTAAATTTTTTAATTATATCTATTTGGTACTTCAAACTCTAAACCTGTCTCATAAATCTAAATTTTTTAATTTATATCTATTTGGTACTTTGAACTCTAAACTCTGTCTCATCAATCCCTTTAAACTTTCGATTTTGTATCTATAATTTCTTCAAATTTAAAAAACGAAATCAAATCTCCTTTGAAAGGCCAACAAAATTTCCAGCCTTGATTGATTTTCAAATGTACAAATAAAGTGAACTAGAAAAACAAAATTGGAGAGGGAGAGAGAGGGAGAGAGAGAGAGAAGCTCCAAATCTAAAGCTACTTGTAAAAGCATATTGAAGAGGGTTAATGACAGAACAATTTTGCCATCCTTTCCAAGTTCACAATGAGTGATGTTGGAGCTCACAAATTCTTGGGTTGTATTATCCATCACAACCTTCATCACTGTGAGTGACAATGGCCTCAATTCTATCAAGTGACGCTTCCAGCTTTCCCGAGTTCATGTTAAACAACGCTTCGCCGGTGCCTAGAGACCTGTCGAACACAACGTCACTATTACAGACACCACCCCACAATTTCTATAAAAACCATAGATGATGAATATTTCCATACCCTGTAATTTCAGGAAGCACGTAATCTGCCCTCCATCCGAAACGGAAATCCAATCCCCGGAATGGGCTAATCAATGACTTGTTCCGTATGCGAGATACACCGTCTCCACCCAAACATGTCGTTAGCTTCCATTTCCAACCCGTGGCGTGCATCTGAAAATTATGCCCGATACCGACCTGTGCTTGTAAGACAACAGAATTGGATGACTTTCTTCTTCTTGGGTAAGACGGTATAGTGTAGGTGATGATATATAATCTGTTGGTTAGAAGCTTTGTACCTGAAGATTTAGAAATCTGGTAACAGGAATCTTTTTGGATAGAAGGCGTATATCTTGACGGATTGGCTCATAGATAAACTTCCATCGCTGCTCCGGATATAATGGCTTCACCACAAGCTTGGCTTCATATTCATTACATGGAGCATTATAGAACTGAGCCAAACAGTAAATCCAAATTCATTCAATCTAAGAGTACACAAACTGACCTGAACCGTGCTAATAAGAGCTTCAAAGAAGGCGAAAATCAGGAGTGTAATACTCTCTTTCGTACAATACAATCTATTCTTTCATAGACCTAGTTAACCAATGATCCTCTGTTGCGAGGATGTCCCGAGAGCTACAAAACAATTATCATCTTAAAGGTTGACGACCCTCCACCCGTGCAATAGTTGAACTTACAAAAAACTAATATTTATCACTCGATAACGTCACTCGGCTCCAAAACCAACCCCTTGGTTAAATCTCAACGCACCTTTACTTACAATACAACTTGAAACTTTATCTAATCACACGTACATAGCTCAGGAGATAAGACAACAATTATCATCTTAAATGTCGATGGTCTCTCCCTTGCAATGGTTAAACTTACAAAAAAGTAATATTTATCACTCAATAACGTCACTCGACTCCAAAACCAACCCCTTGGTTAAATGACGACACACCTTTACTTACTAGTTAGCAACGACATCACTTTCAAACATGTGCATCCCAAGCATGATATTACACAGTAAACACACACCATAGGCTCAGAAAAGTACAAGATGTGAAGACAAGCAAGCCCTTACAAATTTAACATGGTATCGTCAGCAGCACTAAACTCATTAGTTACTTCTTTCATTTTTCTTTTGCTTTACTAAGGAAATTGGAACTCTTTAAGTTCATCCTAGGTCTCACAGTCCCACTTTTTCAACCGTGCAACGTCGTGATCTTGACACACTCACGCGACCAAGGAGGATGGTGCATCATCTAACACACTATACAGAGTCCACATCCTACTCTCTTCATAGTTAGGTTGTGACACTATGCGACTAAGTTATCTCCAAGCCTCTCCAAACTACAAATTAATATGCCTGATATTGATAATTGTCAATTCCTATCATAAAAGCCTTGAAAATGAAGCCCACAGAATCAAGAACTATCTAAGTAGCACTTAGGCTAAGAACTACACCCTCCAAAGCCATAATTAGCAGTAAACAAAATCCTCAAATCATCTAAATTATAAGACAGAGACTATATATTGTAAGAATCCATAGTTCATAAAAGTACCTCCAAATTTATACCGACTCGAAAGCCGCGCAACTCTTTACGAAACTTCAAAAACAATTCCGAGGGCATCAAATTGATACTGCAAAGATCTTCCCAAGAAGTGGGTTCCTCGCCACTTGATCCGGAATCCATAGCGAAGCAATCGGTACTGCAAAATAAACATAAATCAACGAAACTCGAACCATTTTAACCCTTGAACTTGGAGAAAATCATGCATCAAACCCAGAAAACTGCTTTGATTTTGAGCGTAAAAGAGAATTGAGCGCCTTGAGATGAACATAAAATGGTAATTCAGCGCTTATAGAAGAAGTGTACCGAGACGCAAAAGCTCGAACCAAATGGACCGTGAGAGAATTTAGGGGCTAATTCTTGAGTTCTGGTTCAGATATGGTGGATGAGAAATTTCAGGGGTTTTTGTACTTTCAGGATTAGAAATTTTTATGTGATTGATTCAAAGTTCGAGTACTATCGCCTCCACAATTGATAGAATTAAAACTTTTTTTAAAATTTTAAATCAATTTCTTTTTTTAAAAAAATTATTTATACTTTTAAATTTTTTTTAGGGTATAATTTTAAACCTCTAAACTGGAGTGTCCATAGTCCGGGTTGGGTTGAGTGATTTTTTTGACCCAACCCAACCCCTTATTTTCGGGTTGGATTGTTGAATGGTTAAAAAAAATTATTTTTTTTAAAAAGTTGGGTTCGGGTTGGGTTCGAATTTTCAACGAAGGTTTTATCCCATGAACTCGAAACCGAACCGAGTCAGTTTGGGTTCAAAAAAATGAACCCAACCCAACCCAAAAAGCTACTCCAACCCAACCCAATCCTTATAGTTTGGGTTGGGTTGGTCCGGATTGTCGGATTGTCGGATGTACACCCTTACTCTAAACTAATAATTATTTCAATTCATTTTCAACTTTTTCATTAATTTCTTTTTTAAAAATTGATAATGACATTGTAACGTGAAAATGAGTCTATAAATAAATCGATACCACTTTCAAGAAAATGAACAAGAACTTCAGGGAATAGAGGTTCAGTGAAGGGGTAGGTTCATGAGCGTTTTCTCTTTCTCCGGGAAAGTAACTAAAAGTACTGAAATAGAAAGATAATGACTGATATTTGATCCTGCTTAACCATGTATGGGGGCGGACGCCTTTAAAAAATGCTTATTTATATTAACGAGGTGCATATTCTTTTTCAGTAGCTCAATTGTTGAAACTTGAAAGAGAAAACGCTTTTTAGTATGCTTAATGTGGAGTCATCGTGTGTCGGGTATTTCCAGAGTAACTGCTTGAAGTCCACAACTCGAGAATCCCTTAGCAGTGTGTACGTCCTTCCTACACAATTTATGTTTTTTTTTTTTTTTAACTTTCTATATTTTTTTTTTTAATTTTTAACTAAATAAAATTTCTAAAATTACTATTAAAAAAAAAAAAAAAAAACCAAAATTAATGGCAAAACAAATATATATTTATAAGCTTAATTTTTAAAATATAAAAATTTTAAAATTAGAAACACTCAAAATTTAATATATTCGACCATGAAGATTAAATAATCTAAATTAATTAAAGTAGAAAAATATAAAAAAAAAATTAACTCCTAAAGAGATTTTTAATCCTAAATTAAGGATTAAAATATTATAAAACAAATATTTAAAAGTAAAAATATTATAAAAGTTTAAACTAAAATTTTTAAAAATTATTCTTTTTTCAACTATATTTTATATTTAAAATTAACATCTTAATATCTTTAAAATATTTATATTATTTTAAAATTTTAACCTTAAAACTATTTCTTTTAGTATTTAATTAAACATAAATCAATTTGAATTTAGAGAATTTTTTTTATTCTATTATAAATATTATATATATATATATATATAATATGTGATTGTTGAATTAAATAATTATAATTAAATAATAATAATAATAATCATAATAAATATAGCAATATAAGGCAAGAATATTTTTTAAAATACATCAAAGTTATCAATAAACAATTTTCCGTGAAAATATTATTTTATTTCTAACTTTTTTTCAAATAAGACAAATAGGATGTTAATCCTGATCACTTTCCATATTTGAAAATACAATTCAAAACAGCATCTCCGCCGCTGCCGCCGCCTTTCTTCCATTGTTAAGGGTAAAACGGTGGAGACTGCAGCTGAACTGCTGCCACAGCTGCCGTGGGCGGCTGTGGCGACGGCGGATGCTTTGGAATGAACTTTCGAGCCCATATATGTTTCCCATTGATAGTAAACTTCATTCTTGGCTGTCCTCCTAAGATCAAGCCGATCGTTGAAGCCGATCTGAAAACTATACGAGCAAATAATGATTGTTCGTTCGGCTCTACTTCCTGCATTTGAAAATGTTCTATGCAATCACCGTAGTTTATTGTGAAAAAATCTCGAACTTCCCATTCTTGCACGGGATAACCCTTTGAAAACGTTACGAACATCGCTCGTTCTTCTGGTGGTACCTTAACGAAGAACACGAGCAATGCATTAACTCGTTATTTAGACGTTTTTTTTTATAAATTATTAAAAAAAATAATAATAAATTATGTCGTACACACCTGATCTCCTTCATCCATCATGATATCAAACGATCTAAAGGAAAGTGGCGGTGGTGGTGGCGGGAGCGGGACAGAGACGGAGGAGGGGATTTTCCGGTGACTAATGGCATTGAGCATGATATCTCTCATGGCTCTAAAACAAACCTCGTTAAGGATTTTAGTTATACCTTCCATAGCGATTTGACGGTTGGCATAGAGGAACTGGAGAGAGATTTCTTTCTTCATGAAATTTTGAGTGAGAGGGATGCTATTGTTGTAGTCGTCGGAGGAGGGCGGTGGGTTGTCGGATACGATGCAGGTGAGGGCAGTGAGGGCTTCGTCGGCGAGCTCGTTGATGAGGAGGACGGGCAATTGGAGCATTCGATAAACGACGTGTCGAAAACCGACACGTTCGAGCCAAAGCCAAAAGGCCATGATTTGGAGAGCTTCCATGGGGTCTCGGCCTATGTTGATGACTAAAATGGTGTAGAGTTGTCTGTCAATTTTGTGGAATAAGTTGAATTCTTGTTGAGAAACAAACGTGGAAGAACATAATGAAATTGAAAGAGAAGAAGAAGAAGAAGAAGAAGAAGCCATTATCGCCCACCATTTAAGCTCAATTTTGAGTTCATGTTTGCCTTTGTATTTCTACATTCTTATAAAACAATTTAATGATTAATTAATCTTACCATTTATATCAATTCGACTCAAAACTTAATTATCTCATAAATCAAAAAACGACCCAGAAGATAAAACATATATATTATTCTAAAATCGATCATAGATTAAAAAATTCAATTTTTACGAACCAAATTGTAAGGAACAAAGGCGAAAACTGGTAGACATGTGGTATACGAGTGAATGAGGGGTATATGAATGAACTGAGATTACATTGAAGTTATTACCTATGCGACCTTGGCTTAATCACACGAACCAAATTGTAACGACCTAGTTTTTTATACACATATCGATCGAAGTGGTTATGAACAAAGGTAAAAACGGTGTCGGAGTAAAGGAAGGGTACATGAATAAATGTTCAAATGAAACTGAATGGGAGGTATTAGATTTGAATATTATAATTTTTAAAGTTAATTTCATAAGAATATTAAAAAAGTAAATTCATATAATTAGCCACAAAAAGATAAATAAAGGAATATGGAAATATGGACATATAAATTAAAACAGACATGAAAATATGGAATTTTGTTTTGTTGTGAATTGGGAATATGATTTTAATGGTAAAGTATGGTGACATTTAATGCCATTTTAAGTAAGTTGGAGTTTTATTGGGAATGTTTGAAAAATGTCCAAAAACAATTATATGGTAAGTATAGTTGAGATATTAATATTAAACTTATCCAAATAAATATAACACTCAAATATTCTAATATGTATTTATTAATATACAAAAAAATATATATTGTCACAAAAAAGAGTCAAATTTTTTAAAAGTCTCAAACATGAAATAGAAATTAAATTATGGAATAAATTCAAAATTTTAAAATTAAATGACTTAATATCAATTATTTCTAAATTTCTAAATATTTTTTAAAACGAGACAATAATATAACTTTTTTTTTTTTTTTTTTTTTTTTTTTTTTTTTTTTTTTTTGAGAATTTTTTNTAGTGTTGAGTACGACGAGTAATTATGAGTGATAAATATTTAAAAATATTTGGAAATGGGTTCGCTGCATGACGTGCTACTAAGTATTTATATGTAATAAATATTTTTAACACCTAAATATTATAGAATTTGTGCAATTAATTGGTCAGAGCTAGAATAAGTACTCTTAAATATAAAATTAGTAAAGTTGGTATTAATATTTTGAGAATTAACTATTTTCATTTTCTTATTTGGAATGTTTTTCACTTGATCATCATCATTTGATGGGTGCAAATGAGAACCAAAAAATATAATTTATTTTCATTATTTGAAACGTTTTTTGTTCTTATATCAAAGAGAAATAAATCATCTAATTAGTTAAAAGGTTAAGTCGAAGAATAGGCGAAATCCAAAGAATAACCCCTTCCCAAGATACTAGAATTGGGAAAACTCAACCGTGGAGATAAAAAAAAAAAAAAAAAAAAAAAAAAAAAAAAAAAAAAAAAANTTGATAAAAATTGACGACCATTTATGCATACTTCAATCCCTCTCCCTATCATATGAGAATCGCAAATATTGGTTCTCATTGTGCCAGTACGACGCAAAGAGAACGGACAAGTACAAATGTGTGTCGACTTCAGAGACCTAAATGCACCATGACTCAAAGATGAGGCTCCTAATCATTCATGGTATATTTCCATTATTAAATTTTTGGTGTCATTTAGGAGTGTATTATCATATCCTTCGAAGTGCATTAAAATCGAAATGCATTGAAAGAAAAAAAGTAGATGTACAATCAAAGAAATTCAAATTTTAGTCCCAAGATCAAAAAGGAAAAAAAAAAAAAAAAGAAGAACGAACCTTCATTTGTTTACACAGCTACTGCCGGGGTATTTGGTCGATACTGAAGGCCAGAATGAACGAGAAAAAACGGTCTCATCTGCTGCTCATATTCAAGAGAATATAAATGTAGCCTATGCTGAGGGCGGCACTTCCGTTCCAACCTTGAGATTAAACTGATGAACTCAACTCCCCTGCTGCTCTGATGTTTCAGATGCATGTGATAGCTTTTTTAGTGTTGAAATCCTCTTTTGCAATTCAAGATTTGATATACGCTCGGCTTCAAGCGCCCTCTCGAGCTTTCACGCAACGATAAAAGGTCATAATTTTAGTGAAAGAGTCGGAGTGCTTCCATTTCATTTGAAGATATAGTTGCTAATAGAATAAGCAGTGATACCTTTGCAGCTCGTGTACTCCATTCTCCTAGAATAGCTCTCAGTCTTTCATTTTCTTCTACATACTATTCAGGGATAGTCAATGTCAAAGAAAAGTTGAACTAAGCAAGGGGTTACATGTGCAGGTAACAAAAGATCAGATGTGTGAGGACGTTGGATTGGATGAAGTTAAAACTCGTACCTGCTTGTTGGTGGTGAGTAATTTCTGAATCTCGGTATCCCTCTCGGCTATCACAGATCGAGCAAGCCTAAGTTCTGATGTCACCTGATTCATCTGCAACATATAATTCATATTGTTATGGAAATTTTGATTGCATGTGCATCAGGGTGATTTCATGAGCTGACAAGATATCGGGCTTCAAGTGCCATCTTTCAAATAGAGAGGCATTAGATATGCGGGTCTCCCTTTATTGTAAGATCCTACATCGATTGGAGAGGGGAACGAGTGTCAGTGAGGACGCTGGACCTTGAAGGAGGGTGGATTGTGAGATTCCACATCGATTAGAGAAAGGAATGAGTGTCAGCGAGGACGCTGGGCCTCAAAGGGGAGTAGATTGTGAAATCCCACGTCGGTTGGGGAGGAGAACAAAGCATTCTTTATAAAGGTGTGGAAACCTCTCCCTAGTAAAAGCGTTTTAAACACCTTGAGGGGAAGCCCGAAAGAGAAAGCTCAAATAGTACAATATTTACTAGGGTTTAGGGTTTAGGCGGTTACATTTATATTCTCCATGATCAGCATTTGTTCCAAGGGAGATGGGACTTCAGGTTTTGGACCCTGAATTCTTCTTGGAGATTCTTCTCTTACAATTCTTTCTCTCGTTTGTTGTTTATCCCTTTCCTGTTACAGACAAACCGCCTCTGCTTTCTCCTCAATTTGGAAGCTTAAAATTAATCCAAAGGTAATTTTTTTTGTGTGGCAAGTTTTACATGAGAAAGTCAACACTACGGACCATTTTCAAAGGCATTCTTCCCTTGTGTTGCTCCTGCAATGGGGTATCCTTGGTAGGCGTAAGAGGACTCATATTATTTGTTGTGGGGTTGTTAGTTTGTTCACTCTTTGATCATAGAGGCCGAACTCGTTCTATTTATGCTTGGTGTGGAATTGTGACTGATGGGCTATGATTGAGGAGGTACTCCTAAGTACGCTTTTTCAAGAGAAGGGAAAAATTTCATGAAACGCTTGCTTTTTTTTTTTTTTTTTTCATCTTGTGGGGCACATCCTCGAGAAAAACAATAGAATTTTTAGAGAAGTAGAAACGTCGTGTGACGAAGTTTTGAAGTCAGTGAGGGCTTTTCGTAATTATACGCTTGGTTTTGATTTTGTTGGACTACAGTACATTATCTAGGCTAGTTTGAGGGATTCCCTTTTGTTGGCTTGGTTTTTTTTTATGCACTTCCTGACAAGATATCTCAACGTCATAAAAGCATATCCACACAGTAAAACCAAAAAAAAAAAAAAATTGAAAACATGAATTCACATCATTGTGGTGGCTTGCCTACGATATTAACTAATATAAGTAGGGGCCAACATCTTGTGACATTAACTGACATGGACATATGTTGGATGTTATTAAAAATCCAATCAAAACATATAAACAGTACTATGTAAGACATACCTCAGCTGAAAGTGTCCTCAATTCCTGATCACGAGCAGCTAGCATATGGGCAAGATCAACCTGAAAAGGAGTCACTGTAACTACAGCCATTTTCATTCATATTACACTCCTTGACCTATTCCTTCATCTTTGACTATCTATCACGAGAGAGAATTTTCATGTTCATATACTCTAATTTCGGAGTCTACTATCGAATATACTTCCTTCTAATTTTGGACAGAATTATACACAATTTGAACACCGCTCTTGAAAAAATTAAAACCCAACCTTAAAAAGTAAAGCATGCAAAATATATAAATATATATAACATATTCCAATCCTTATATATTGATCAATCTTAAGCTAAGAGATGACAACTTCTTCCTCAAGCGAGAGCCAACCAAATCCTTCTATATCTATTTCAAACTCTTCAAATATTGTTAATTGACTTGACTCGATAAAAATACACACTTTCATTGAAGCAACAATTTAGAGCTTTGAAAAAAATATTGTTAAGATTTATGAGGTTTTTTTAAGTATGTCAATCTTATTGTGTGCCAAATATCTTTATAAACAGCTATATCCTTCTGTAACAAAAAATTGACACTCCATTTTGACGAGATTTTTCCAAAAAAAACTAAATCGTTACAAATTTGAAAGTTCAAAAACTAAATTATTACTTCACTACCAGAAGAGTCTTCTAGCCTAAAGTATATTTTATTTTTTATGTTTAGTATACACGTTTTATGTATTATGAAGTACTAAATATGTCAATATATACAAATATATTCTATAAATAAAGATGTTCCCAAAAGTCCCCGCCATGCTTTTTTTAAGAAAGTGATGTATCCGATGTGTCTGTGCTTTTAAGCTCACACCCATGAATAAAATCTAAAAATCAGTACAAACTTTGGTTATACATATAAAATCTAAAAAAACACCATACATCAAATTAATATGATCACCTGAGGCGTGCTTCCATCACTGGACCGTTCATATTTACTCAAGCACTCTTGCAACCGAAGAATCTGAGATGAACAGGAACGAAGGTGATTTAGCTCATTCCAATAGGAATTGAGAAAAGAGCATGACTAAGTAAAGCTGCTGTGTGCCAAACCAAGTATGTGATAAGGTTATTATATACCTCCTCATTCAGAAAATGAAGGTTCTCTCGCTGATATTGCAACAGAGCCATTTGCTGATCGGAAAG